TAGGCAACTCCTCCCATTCCCGAGAAACCGAGGATTAAAATTGCCTCCCAGAGCGGAATCAGAGTGAAGATGCTCGCGCTCCTATTGTTAATTCGCTCGTGGCTGCAAAGAACCGCTACTCGACCGGTAGATAGATCTGCTCTGCGAACCACATGGATTGTAATTAGGCGCATAATATCAGTTCTGCTTATGTTTTTTTTTTTTTTTTTTTTTTCTTATTTTTTAGGCCACTTGCTGCGGTGAATAGATACAATCATTACTCCTCCGGATAATTAACACACGTTAATAGTACAAAATATGAAACAAAGTACTAACTCTGTCTTCAGTAGGTACGAAAATTGTTAACGTTAATGAACTATCTGCGTGAGCAATCAAAGGCGATGGGAGCCAATTGTCCGGGGAAAATTAAAAGTACACAGTCCAATGGTTTTGAAAGGAAATTTGAAAAGAAAAAAAGAGGAGAAAAAGAGAACCGATCCATTTACGTCACGAGAGCATTTGTCGGCTTACGCATCCCGGCGTCGTCACTTTCTACTCTTATTTTCGTCCGCGTGTACTTGCCTGAGGAAGGTCAATAAATCCATGCGACGCGCTCTTGTCGTTTTTTCTCCTCCTCGGCACCTTAAATCTTGTCACGCGTTTGATTTTCGAGATTAAAATTTGCCACGCTGAATGAAACACCAAGCACGCGGTTAATTGTTGCGACACGCGATGAGAGCACAGTATTTGGTCATCGCTTTGTTTCATGAATGAAGGCGGCCGATGGATTTTCACACTTTGTTATGTACGTTTTTTTTGTTAGTCGATTCGTAGAGTATAAGAAGATTAGGTCAGTTGAAACGAGACAGTGTTTTTTTTTTTTTTTTTTTTTTTAAAGTGGGAAAGGGGTTAAGAAGTATCCAAACAAACAAATAGGTTTTTGAATGTCTATAGCTGATTTCCCTTAGACAAAAACTTAAGCGAAGATTCCCATAGTCTCTTGATTTTCTTCCTCGATACCGCAACAGCTATTGATCGGCTCTTTGAAGACAAGTTTTTTCCGAGCGATTTTCACCTCGGAAATTCCCATGCTATTGGAACAAAAAACAGGAAGGATTGCAGTTCCTCGTGAATTTTAATTTTTTTTTTTTGTCATCCACTAAATTTAATTACTTTATATAAAATTCCTTGAGATGTAGCGTTTTAATTTACTATTCAATAACCATAACAATTAATCAATTAATACATACTCGATGATATATATTACAAAAACATATTTGTGGCTTATTAAACCTTTTTTTTTTTTTTTTTTTTAGTCACTAAAAATACCGTTTCGGTTTAACAAAGATCTCGGCGTATTAGAAAAACCTGAAAAACGTTGTGGTCTGAAAAATTAATTATGGCATTGCGTAATCGCTACGTGCATAACGTCAAATGCAATTACATCGCGCTGAAAATACAGCAAACGGTCATGAATTATCCCTCAAATTTATTGCTACACCACAAGTGGCTGTATTGGTAAATTCGTCATAGACTCGAAAACCACAAAATTAAACGGCGATATTATGGAAAAGCAAACGCAGACGGTAGTTATGTGTTATTATACTGTACTGTTATACACAGACTATTACAGTAATTTTGTTGAGCAAGAATTGTTGAAGTAAAAAAATTTTTAGACGAGAGGATGGTTCGACGTGAAATGAACGTTGCATTTCGCAAAATCGTGTTAAATTTTTATATTTTTGTCTAATCAAATTTTAGCTGTGCAATGTCCTATTGAAAATATCGATGTGGCACTGTATAATAAAAAAGAAAGTAATAAGACACATTTACAGGCAATATTCAACTAAATTTTCATCACTGAAGTATTATGTAAGCAAATATTCTAATACAGCAAAATAATTATTGTCTCCGAATACGTTTAAGAGAAACAGGTGTTTCAACAAAATTTTTGCAAACTCAAAATATACATTAAACAAGATGGTTCCTGTTTTTATTAATATTTATCCATATTTCAATGTCTGTGTGTGTCAAAATAAAAATGTGTACTTTCCATCGGTTGAGAAAATAAATTTTTTTTTTCCATTTCACTCAATGCAAAGATGTACGAATATACCTTTATAATACCCTTTTACATTGAACCGCACCGCACTCAGCAAAAATGGCACGTCAAACTTGTGATACTAATATTTTTAGAATGAAAGACGCAAAAAAATATGCAACCTAATTGTAATTTATAAAAAAAAAAAAAAAAAATTATAATACATTAACAGTAAAATAACAGATAACAAACTGAAGACTCAATATAAAAATGCAAACGGTAAAAATAACCGAAACTTACAATTAAAATATGATGTAACGATTTTCTCCACGTGCCGAGTCCAAAGACTTTCAGTCTCCATCCAAACACTTGCAAATATAGATACTTACGTTACTCCGAGATAAGTACACCAGAAGTAGTAGAGATAAAACGATGAGAGGATATCGCCCGCACTTGTTTCTCAATCCGCTTTCACGTTCGCGAATCTCGGCTCATCATCTCTTTCCCGCCATTGTTTTCCCTTCGCGGCGCGAAAAAATTCACTCTCATACACTCATTACTCGCCTTCTCTTGATTACTTTTTTTTTTTCCTTTAACGACTCACTTACTTAATTTGAACATAAAAGGTCGTGATATTGTTCTAGCTTTCGTTGAACAAAGCAACTTTAACTCCATACAAACATTTACAACTTGTCTGTCTTTTTGGTGATCTCCCGGAAGTTGTGGGCTTTTGATATGATTGCACAATTTTCGTTTACAAATTACTTTTTGCAAATGATTTTTAAGGGAAAATAGCGAATAGGTACATTATACGTGGAATGAGGATTACATGATGTTGAACTTTTTAAAATAATTTGTCATCCATAGAAAATCCATCTATTTGCTTTTAAAGTTGGAAAGAGAAAAAATTTTAAATAACAAAATTCACTCGAAGCACGAAAATAATGTACAACAATTGTTTTTTACAGGTAAAAACATACCAAACGCTAAAAGAGATATAATTCGAGGATTCGTGAGTCAAAGTGTTTCGAGGAACAATAAAAACAAGGGAATTTTAAGGAATTGCAGTGTTACGTTGAAAAACGAAGACAAGGACGAAGACTTTCATATCGCTTACAGTGGATATCTAAGAGACAGCTCGTCGATGATAATGCTTCAAACGAACCATGTTCCCGTGGGCAGCGAAATATTACCCAGCAATAACAGCACTGCCGTCAAGTAAGCCCTTTTTTTTCATCTTGTCCGTTAAAATATTTGCAAAAAAAAAAAAGCACTTGACAGTGATCTTGTGATGTAAAATAATGCGATCTTTAGCCCTGAATAATCAATATCCAAACCCCGGCTCGATTTCAGTGGTCAAACGTCAAACGAGCCAAATCATCATCATCATCATCATCATAGAGCCAAACGGGGCGTGACGCATTTGTACAACATGATCGTGTGTGCCACCGGCTGCGATCCCTTATCGTACAAAGGATACGCTTGTTACTGCGGCTTTTTGGGCTCCGGTTACCCCATGGACGGCATCGATCGGTAAGAGATCGGTAACGCCATAAGTTGAAAAACATCTTCCACTATTGCAGTTATTATTTTTTTCTAATACGTATGGTAAACCTCGATAGGTGTTGCAAAATGCACGATTTGTGTTACGACGCCACGGAATGCCCCATGTTCGTGGAGTACTTTGTGCCTTACTACTGGAAATGCTACGGCGGCTACAAACCCATATGCGGTTGGTATTGTTTTGTTTTTTTTTCTCTATCCAAGAAAAACAATGCATGGTAAAGAAAAAAAAAAAAAATATATATATATATATATACCATTTAAATGTCTCAGCCATCGAACACGGAGAATGGGGAGGCTCAGGCTCGTGTGCCCAGCGGCTCTGCGAGTGCGACAGATCGTTTGCCGAGTGTCTTCGAAGGTACCGGTGCCCCAAGCACAAAGCACTGTGCACTTCGTCCCCTTGGCGATTGATACAAAACATTTTTATGATTGTTTGAGTACTAGCTGATTGCACGTCGGGATCTTGCGTTGCCATTTTTTTTTATCTTATCTTGTAAAAACTGTAATAATTTTTTTTTTTATTTTAAAATCAGAAAGTTACCATTATCATGTATAAGTCAGAGCAAGATGCTGTTCATATCATCTTGGGTGAATCATATATTAAATATTCGTTTGGAAACTCATTGTTATAAATATTTCTAAATCTTTAGTTTAATTGGTCGAGTGTATGGGTATATACGTAAATGACGTTGATACAAAGTTAAATAACATTATTGTCTATTTGATAAACGTGTCTTATAATTTTTGTTTTTGTTTTTTTTTTACTCTACCATGAGCAGTGTTCATTCTTACGTGAATAATTCGACAGTTCCAAAAGTTTAAGTGATCTATGTTGTTTTATAATCTATTTCCGGCAATTTTAGCTTTTAGTGGATTATGTGGAATTCATTAGGTGTAAAAGAAATTCCCAATGTTATAATTTGATGTAAAAGAATGAAGCAATTTGTTTAGTGTAAAAGCTATCGATTATTTTTCAAATCATGTAATACGATTACAGTTCGAGTTTCGAAAATTTTCATCATATGCAAAATCTCTCTCTGTTATATGTATAATTGATATAATTGAAAATATTTTGATATACAACAACGTATGGACATTATTGATTGTATCTCACTTTTAAGCAGAGTCAAGTTTAACAGTATAATTAATAAAAAGAGTAAACAATGAGCTTGATGAAATTAAAATCTTCCTCACTAAAAACTGTAATATAAATTTAAAAATGATATATAGGTGCTTTGGTTATTATACAGTTATTTTTTTCCTATTTAAAGTTGGTTAGCTGGAGCATTGCGTAAATTAACAGCTCTATAATCTTCATCGAATAATTCTGTTGTTGTCCTAAAAATTAAAAATTACATTTTTAGTGTGCAAAAAATTAAGATATGATTCGTAAAATAAAAACACAATGATTGAATAATTTTATATAAACATTTTTATTGATGTATGAGTATGTATTACAAGTTTAAGAATAGGTTGTACATTATTGTCATAATACTACGAAATATTGTTTATAAGAACATAAAAAAATAAAATCTTTCTCCTCACTCTCAACTTCAACACTCTCCGTATCTCACGTGTGTGCCTCCGTCAGTTGTCTCCTAAAATCTACAGGTCACCTTAAAAAACTAATGCTTCGTATGTATATATGTACACGTACATCGGTATACGTACGCCACGAGCTCGACAGTCGTTATCAATATTTGAATAATCGACACGAGCGTCGAAGATGAAAAAAAAAGAAAACCACGTTCTACAGCCCGTACGTCATCCATACCGCGGATAATGGCAATATTTACATGTTCAGAGAGCCATGGGCATGTCGAGCTTGGGATGCGGATCGTAGCCTTCGAGTTCGAGATCGGTGAAGTGAAAATCGTCAATACTCGTCACCTGTCGCTTTATCCTGAGCTTCGGGAAGGGCCTCGGCTCGCGCTTCATCTGCTCCTTTATGGCCTCCACGTGGTTGCGGTACACGTGAGTATCGCCCATCGTGTGGACAAAGTCACCAGGCTAAGAAACGTCACAACCGCACATACATCATCAATTTGCACTCGTAGAAAAAGCTCCAAGGATGGATCACAGTATAGAGGAAAGAAAAAAGCCTCACCTTGAGATTCGTGACGTGAGCTATGAGACAAGTCAGCAGGGAGTAAGAGGCGATGTTAAACGGTACGCCGAGGCCCATGTCACCGGCTCTCTGGTACAGGTGACACGAGACCTCGCCACCGTCCACGTAGAACTGGGCGAGCGAGTGGCAGGGAGGCAGAGCCATCAGGGGAATATCAACCGGGTTCCACGAGCTGATGATTATTCTCCTGTCGTTGGGGTTCGTCCTTATCTTGTGGATCACGTCGGCCAACTGGTCGAATCCTGTTGAACAAAAAGCGGTACAATCATCAATACACGCACAGGTGCCGAGGTGAATATAATACAATTGGACACAAGAACCGATCGAAGGAGGAAATGAAGAGAAAAAAAAAAAAAAATAACAAGTATACCCTGGCCGGTGTAATCCGCGTGCATGTCCACGTATTTGGCGCCAAAGTATCGCCACTGGAAGCCGTACACGGGGCCAAGATCTCCTTCCTCTCTGCCCGTGAAGCCGCAGATGTCCAGGAATTCCCGGGATGCGTTGGCGTCCCAGATTTTAATACCTTTGGCGGACAGTTCTTTGGCGTTGGTCGAGCCTCTGATGAACCAGAACAGCTCCTCGGCCACTCCGCGCCAAAAGACGCGCTTCGTCGTCAGTAGGGGAAACGTTCCTGTGGAAAAAGAAACAAAACAGAAAAATACTTACATACATGTATTTACTGAAATTTTGGGAGCAAATCGGTGGTCGAAGCCGCAAAAGTTGGAATTACCGTTTCTGAGGCTGAAACGCATCTGCGTACCGAAGATGGAGTGGGTGCCGACTCCGGTACGATCGTCTCTGACGGCACCCTTCTCCAGTATCAATTTGATCAAGTGTAGATACTGGTGCTCCTCGTGCTCCTCGACCTCGGGCTTGGTGCTAAAGTACTTTTTCTTCTGATTGTTGCAGTGGGTTCCGTTTTGCACTGGAATTATCGACATCCTGCGTTTACCGATTTTAACGACCGGTTTGACCAAAGACTGAAGGGTACTCGAGAACGGCGTCTCTTTTGTTGTCCTCGTCTGTAAACAATTCTAGACGATGCTCCAAATGTACATTCTTGTTTTAATCACCATGTCTAATACATAACGATCATCTATGGATCGGTAAGCCTAACGATCATGAAATCTTCGCGACAACGTGTTAAAAGTTTAAATAGCGAAAATACGTTTACTCACCAGTAACGAGTACTTCAATTTCATGCGCTTCTGGAACGAATCTTTTTTTTTCGGTTCGGCAAACTTATGTGTATGCACTGCTGTATCGCGTCGTCGAGCCTCGATTTCTGTACTTTTGGGCCAAATAAAAAAAAAAAAAGATGACGGTACACTGATGGAATTTCAGTAGTAATCTCTCGGGTTCGGTGCAGCTAACGAAAGAAGCTAACCGATCATCTCTCGGGCGCTTTATATGCGTTTCGCGAAACGGCGCTTTTCCGCGGTTTTATCTCGGGGAGGGAAAAAAAAACGTGGGAGAGAAACGGAGGAGAGCCAGGCCTCGTGGCATGGCCAAACACGTGGACTGCCTTTTGCTGAATCGACAGATGCGTACGAGTGAGGGACTCTTTTTACCAGTGGTAAAATTTATTCAGTTTTTTTTCCTCGCTCACAGTTTAGAAAAAAAAAATTAAAATTATAATCCCAGCTTGAGAGTTGACACACAAAATGTAATTGTCTCTGTACTTCGTATATGAAGTTTTGTTTGTAAACACATTGATAAAGATTTATGGAGTGAAAATCGCATTATATCATCAGCACATGCAGGTTTTATCTTGTGTGAAATGTAAGGTAGATAAGATTTTTTTTTTTTGCAAACAAAAATGTAATTCCACCCATTGCTGCGCTCCATTCATAAGAATCTAGTTTTGCCTTTTTTTTAATATCCAGCTTTAAAAATTGTTGTCAATATTGAAAATGCTCTTTTACTTCATCGTTTCTAATTTATTTTGTGTTGAAAATTTGATTCACAGCACAGAGAGAACGGAAAATGTTTCAACACGTGATTGGGCATGACTTTTACCGGATTGATCGTCGAACGTCACGTGCATTATTTACATATAGTTTTTAGAGATTCGCACATCCAAATACGAGATTTTGCACTAAGAAATCTTTTCTACGATTAAACAATTCGCTGAAAACCTTTTGAGCCAAAAAAATCGTTGTCGATGAAATGGGCTAAAACTTGCGCATCTCAAAGTACAGATATAATGTTATCCAAGGAAACATCCAACGAGTCCAATCTTATCGGTCTACAACCTTTTGAAACCTTGAAATGCATTATCATGTCTAGCCTGACCAATAAATCGGTCGCTTCTAACTAATTTCTACATATACAGTAAAATTGGAAAATATAAATAAGATGAAAAATAGTATCAACAACATTGTGAGCTGCTCCCTCGTAAGTTATAAAAAATAAAAATAAAAATAAAAAAAATTATGTAGTTATCAGCGGAGAAAAAAAAACCCATCACGTGTCTCTAAAACGTAAAATCAGTGGATAACGGCAAAAATTTAATCGATTTTGTTTTTTATCGGCTATCCAAACCACTGCACCATCAGCGATAACAATGTGTAACAGTTCTAACGCGCTGCGGCGCGTTGAATTAAATTTCCGAGAACATTCATTTCTATGTACAAAACGATATTGGACGGAAGCGGGAGGGGGACAAGGAGTCGATCGATCTTTTCTTCGTTATCGCATGAAGAAGCGGCCGCGCGCGAAAGGTCACTGTCACGCGAATGCCGTATGCTGGTGTTAAGTTGTACGCGATTACGTTGTTGCACTCGCGGCTTTGCTACAGAAATTGAGAAACGCCGCTTTGCGTCTCTTTTTCTCTTTTTGCGTAAGTTTTATTATTTTTTTTTTTTTTTTTTTTCTTTCTTTAATCGTAAGTAGATGTGTGTACGTCGAAATGACGTCACTTCTTGCTCGTTGATGATGCGCTTCACGTTGGAGGTTTGATTGAAATCGAAAAAATTTACATCTCTGTACAGATACGTAATTGATCATTTTTGCGCAACTTTCATAGTATATATACAGTGTCTTTTCAATGTACTTAAATATATAGGTTGGATGGTGCAAATAATCAACCATATTAATTACGTATGAACTATTGTCAATTTATTCGTTTATTTGTTTGTTAAATATTTACAAGTTATATTATATTCTATGACTAAGGTGTACAAAAATTCAGTGATTTCATTGGCAGCTAAAAATTATTCGTTTACATTTTTTTGTTCAGGTATAAAAAAAAGGAAATCGATGGGGGCAAGGACAGCTGATGCGCAGAAGTGTTAATTATTTTTAATTAACCTATACATTCAATCAAAATTTATAGTAAAAACAGCTGTTTTGCAATAAGAAAAAAAAAACTAGGTTTTTTTCTTGGGCGTCCGCATAAGTATAAATGTACCATGAATTTATTGTTTATAATCTAATACATTCCATAGCATTTTGCTTTTATTGTATTCTCAGAAAAAGCATGATGATTTCCTTACTCAGCGGTATACTTTTACAAGCATTGGTAAAATTTAAGGGACAATCGTACTCCTGCATTAAAATTTAAAAGGCCGTAATTCTCCGTTATTGCTTTGCATGTGATCAAGTCGCACTTATACTTTTCGCCAAGAAACTAAATTTTTTCACGGTAAAATTTGAAGTGTTTCATCAATAGTGACGTTCATTTAATTTGATTGTAGCTGAAAGTTGTAATGATCAATGATGGCAGTACAAATTGATTCTTGAAACTTAAATGCTATGTGCAAGCGTTTTATTAATAAAGGAATGACTTTTGCAAAACATTTTCATTAAAAAATTAATAACAATTTGTTTCATTACTATTTGATGTGATTATAGGAAAGAGATTGTAACCTCTTATAAATCACTAATAATTTTATGAAACAGAATTTGTTTTAAATTAAATCTGCATAATATACACTGGCTGTAAATCAAGTTTACAATGATTTATTATAAAAACTCTCGACAAAAGTAAGTATTGGTAGTAGTATTGTTACACTACCTTAGATATTGTTATTTTGTAAAAAAAATTTTAATGTTTATGTTACCAACGCAAACATTTCTACTTTGTAGACTGTGAATTTATGATTGCGGAAATAGTTTTACTTTGCGTCGAGTGATATTCATATTCTTGCTTTTTTTTCACTTATACTCAAATAAAATTTAAAAAAAATTAAAGTAAAATTTTGTATAACGAAAAAAAGCACAGATCGATTCACTTGAATAATGAAGCCTCGTGTGAGCTCGATTAATAAAAACATTGTAACAATAAAATAATCAACAAAGCAGAAATTCATTATAAAAACAGACTTTAACTTTAAATTTACATATAATCGATGAAGTTTGCATATGGCAGTCACCACAATCTTTACAAAAAATTTCGAAAAAGAAGAAACGAGCTATGGCAAATTATTATTTTTAATAAAAAAACAAGCAACATATCACTCTACAATAATCCAGACATACTTTCATTAAAAATTACTCAACGAGCAACTTTCTTCATTCTTTGAAATTTTTTTTCTGAATAATGTTAGAGAAATTTATAACTATTTATTGAGATATACCAAATTTGTACGATATGACTGACAATCGTTCGCTACGTGGGTTCGGCAAACAGTGCAGTTAAACCTGATTCCTTGGATTTATTAGAAATAACGTCTTCTCGAATAATTTGTTTGGGAGCGACCTCGATTCGCGGTAGATTGTCTATTTTGACTTCTTTGCGGAAGAGTTGACTAATGTTTCTTCCGATCAACTGAAAAGAAAACCATTGATTTTCGCTTTATATTTTTCAACAATACTTCATACAACCATATTCTTCATTTGAATAAATTAAAAAAAAAAAAAAAATAAAAAAAAAGAAGAGTATACTGTCGTAATAAATATCTTACCTGGTTTGTGATTTTTTTGAATAGATCTTTTTTACCCTTTTCAACTTTATTGCCTTTGCCACTGACAACAGACATTTTCTCATCAAAGCGCTGCAGGTCGGTTGGATTAACGCCTGGGATTTGCTGCATCACCTCAATGATGTTCGGAAACTTGGGTCTGAGAAGTTCGTACAGTTGAGCGCCTAAAGTTATTAGTAAGCCTTGGTTTGAGTCATGCTGTCCATGCAACTGTAGACCCCGAAGTACCGCTATCATCACATGCGCGGCCATAGTTGGTGTTAAACTGCCGTCCGCTACAAGGGCTCGTACCACCGGCCCCGTTAGCATCGTTGCCTTGAAGCTAGACGTTGAATCGTTCCATGATAGGGCTCTGTAGACACATTATTCCTCATTATACCGCACGATGATAGGTAGTATTTTCAAAAAAAATATTAGAATAGCTCGTTTACCCCAGAATGCACAAAACAACGCTGTTACTGGTCGATGGATGTCGTAAAATAAATGCTCCCAGTTCACTTACTATCTCAACAACGAAACTATTATTGCTTCGTAGGGGTGGGGACGGTTGGTCAACAACCATTCCACCACCGTCCAGTTCCATTGAATCAGGAGGTGAGGCATCGATTGCCGTACCACCTACCAGGGCTACTTTCAATACATCAACAAACTCGCGCGACAAGTTGCGATTAAGCATGTCATCGATCACCTCTTGGGTGTCAGTATTCTCGTCATCAAAAGTACCGGATTCGTACAAACGAGTTATGTACTGCCACTTGGTACTCAATCTCTGGTACACTGTAAAAAAAAAACAAGCATGAATTTAATTTCAAGGCAACTGAAACTAGCAACTAATGGCTCGGATAGCTGATACTCACTGTGAGTAGATACATGCGCCAGAACAGGAACAAGGACCGTTTCGTAATACGCAGGTGGACACCAGTGTACAAAAGATTTCATAAACACGCGAATAATAGGACGTAATCTGTGGTCTGGAATGGACTGAAAAAAAAAAAAAAAAAAAAAAAAAAAATGATATTAATGCTTACTTTAAAAAACTTGTGAATGATTTTCGGAAGCGGAACTGACCTCAAGATTTGAAAAAACAGAGTCCAAAAGTGCATTCGTCAGACCGTTGACCTGATAAAGTTCTCGACCTATCGTATGACAGGCACTACTGAGTAAATGATAACAGCTATCGTGAGTGGTGGAAAGGAAAGTCTGCATTCTCGTCAATGGATTGCTTTCCGTTTCTGCTAAGCTGTCGCAGTTGTTCGAGGTCAAGCCTATCAAAAACATTTTTTCCGATTCCAAGATATTGTGGGCATTTTTGTATCCATCGGAAAGCACACTGAGAGCGGCTGGAGTGAATAATGCATTCATTGCTCGTAGAAGTGCGAATAAAGGTGGTATAACCGGCAGAATGTGCGGAGTCGCAGGATTTCTGTATACAGGATTGCCACTTTCGCTGACAGCAGCGACGAAACCACCACGAGCAGCGCGATCTGGATCGTCAGGTATTGAGCATCGTTTCACAATGCACATCACCGTGTTCACGTAGAACGTTAGATTTGATCGGTTCTGGACTAACGGATCATTAGGTCCAGCGTCGATTGCTGGTCGATCTAAGCCGATAAAGCGCATTAACTCAATCGGGCCTTTGAATACTTCAACTCCTACATTGATGAACTGTGAAGAGGATTCTCCTATGATCTATATAAAAAAAAAAAAGAAGAGACGGTTCAGCATTCAATAAAAAACAATGTAGCCAAAAATATCAACTTATATAATAATCAAACCTCTGTGATGAATCGCGATTGTCTCTCGTAGTCACAGAAGTGATTCGTTATGAGCAAAAGGGCTTCGTACAGAGCTAAAGTCTCAATGCGGGTCAATTGTCTAACAAGTCCCCTGATAGTTGTATGGATCTGATCGAAAATCGGTAGCAGAAGCAGAGGAAACTTCAAACCAATTTTGACCATCAAATTATCAGCATGCCTCCTCACGTTTTTCGTCGCCTTTGACATGTTCTCCAGTGTCTCTCCGGGTCCGAGGTACACCAGTGAGGCAAATATTTTCTCGAGTACGCGGGGAAGTAAAGCGACACCGGGTATTGCCATCGAGCCCGTTGACATCGATAGAAAGACAAACAGCGCGCTGATGCAGGACAGCAAAGATGATTGTATCCAGGCGTCCTGTGGCGAATAGCTCAAGCAGAGCTCTATCAGTTGCAAGCCCGTTTGAACGCTAGGACGCTCGCTTACGAGCAATATACGTGAGACGACCGCGTCAAGGGCATTGGAAAGAGCCTCCCACTCAAGATATTCCGGATCGAGGGGATCACTTTTGTAAGCGGGGTTCTCCAAGCCCTTGCGAATTTTGACAGTCAGCCATTGCTGAACGTAAGCGAAAGTGACCAGAGGTGCAACTAGTGTCGCGGCACGCAAACCCTCAAGTAAATCCATGCGCAGCCGATGCGACAACGTATTGTATTCTTTCTCAGTGTCATAATCTACAAAATACGAGCTTAAACCATTCATGTACTGTTTTTTTGGATAGGCGTGCTGAAATGTACATAATTATACGTATATGATAACGGCAAATAGTCATAAATTAATGCATACGATATTTGGACAGTCAACTCACTTTAACCACTTTGGGTGCGGCATTTTCTACAAACTTTGGGATGTAGGACACGAGAAGCGAATCGGTTTTAACATGTTCGTGTTTGAATAACATTATCCAAATTGTGTTGGACATTTGCATAAGGGTGAGACTGGGATGCCCCGAGAAATTAAGCACAGTGTCAAGATAAAGACCAAAATGAGCTGGACGAACACCGTTGACATCGTCTTTAACCCACAAGGAACATAGCTGGATTGCCATGCCTGCAAAATTTTGATTTTTTTTTTTTTATCAGAAATATTTGGTAAAAAAATTAAGATGTTTTAATCTGAGTGTTATCCATGCCCACCGTTCAAAACTTGAACCAACTTCTTTAAAAACAAATAATGATTTTCTAGCAAGTCACTTGACCCAGAAGGAGGGCTTGCTATTGCTGCGGCATATATACACCTTAATGCTTCCTCTGTGAAGAGAATCATTAATTGTTTTCTATCCTCGACCTTTCCTTTTCGATTCACGACTTGATTTAAACACTCTGCTGCTTGACACCGAAATGTTGGATTGCCCAAGAGTACGCAAAATATTTGCAGTAATCGTCCCTTGTCTGCCATAATGTGGCTTATGGAAACCCATTCCACAAAACCAGATAATGTCAAAAGAACAACCTGTAAAAAATAGCCATGGATAAATCAAGTGATTTTCAATCATGAGGTGTTTGGCGGTATACAGTGAACTTTTTGAACGGGATAAAATTACTGTTTGCTTACTTGTACTACTCTACTATGGGCTGCTGCTTCGGCAGTTCTACCAAGAGAAGTTTGCTTCTGAAACTCAGAAAAGTGTGTCTCCATCAGTTTTAAAAAAAACTCAAAGATTTGTGCCATGTTGGTAGTCAGAGCTTGATAAATATCTTTTCTTCTTTGATTTGATTCCAGTGTCTCTAACACAGCAACGTCTTCCACTAATCTCAAAAACACTAAGAGAACCAGTTCTGTTTGGCTTTCTCCTCTTGTACATGCTTGGCTAAGTTCTGCAAGTAGTGTTGGCCATTGTTGGGGCCACTCTCTCTTAATCATTTCCACAACAACTCGCGATAGAGCGTCTTTGATGTGATTTTCTTCTTGTAACAGTGGTTCTGTTCCTTCCTGTAGGAGTTTCATGGCATTTTCTTTGATGAAAATTTTTTCAGACTGCGTTATTTGTGTCCAGCGGTATTTGACACAGTGCTCCATTAGTTGAAGTCCAAAATGTCTGACGATGGAACTTTTGTTAGGTGTCTTTTGTGCCAAAAATAAGCCACACTGAGCACAAAGTGGAGATGATTCTTTAAAACGTTCGCATTCATTATAAACCTCCAAACGCTGTTGTTGTGTGATGTTTGGAGACATCATTGCTTCCACATATCTGGCAAGCTCTGCTGATATTTGGGCAATGTTACCATCAACTCCTGCTCCAAACTCCATGTTAACAATTTGTCCTGAAAACTAAAATTTAAACCTTAGAAAACACTTACAATTAAACAGATAAAAGATTAGTGATGTTATAAATAAAATATGTATATTTGAAAAATTGAATCAAACTTAAGTTATTGAGAAAAACCTTGGATTTATGTGATGCAACATTACTGGTCATAAATATATCAAATTGCAATTAATCGTAAAAAAAACAATAGGACAGGAGAAAATAATTGTATAAATGTTGACAAAATAGCCATGCAAAGTTTCAAAGATTTGTTGAACACTGTGATGAAAAATCAGAAATTCCAACTAAAAAATGTCAACTGTTATTTCTGAGGATTTCACATGAAAATTAATCAACAAAATCAATTATCAACAGCTGTGGAAAAGCTTACAAGGATTGGCCACAACTTGTGGAAACCCATACTCTTATAAATCTAAAGCTTAAAGGCAGTAGTAATATATGGGTATAGTTGTACTTGTAAGTCCATGCACCTTGAGCCAATCAATAAATCCAATTAAAACCACAACACTAGAAAACTTACAGACAGTCAATCAAAATCATCAACAACGCTATTTAATTATAATTGCACATAAAAAAACAAGCATGAAAATCAACAAAAGTTTTTTGCAGAAAGCACATGCAACAGATGAGGTTTGTTAATAATATCGTGCTTATCCAAATAGTATACAACTTACATCGTTTATACACATAACTAAATCGTACATATTATGCTTGTCTAGTAATTGATGCAGCTCATACTCACAACTTAAAAATATAAATCTTGTACACTTATTTCGCGATTAATGGTGCACGTGCATGCAAACCAATTTTGACAAAGACGCGCTGATATCACTCCATAGCTTTTCTTCATAGACGACGGCTCGCCCGCGTTGAAAGCAAATGTCAATGAAATTACAATAAGTTGTACTTAATTTGTAAAAATCTAAGCTTGCGGATTGCGACTCCTAAATAGATCAACAAAACCCACCTTGCGGTCCCTGACCTGGAGTATATAGTTATATAGTTGTAGGTAACATGAAATTGACTATGATGCAATTAACATGCCTGCATGGGTAATTCATAAAATAAAATTTAAAAAAATATATATATAAAGATATATGTATATATATATCCTTGATGTAGAAAAACGTGCGAATGCGTATGGAGACAAGTTAGACAACAGCGTATACAGAGCCGGCGAGCACGAAATTCGCGAAAAAGAAAAGCTATAAATTAGTATAAACATGTATGTTTAGACAAAAAAGCGCGCACACAAGGTTCGCGTTCTCAAGAAAATAAAGGCATGCCTAAGAAGTAGATCTATTTCGAGCAATAGTTAAGATTTTTGAGCAAAACAATGTAATATATACAACTTACGTTTGGAGGAATGCGGGTGATATCAACAGGAACAACAACAGCCTAAAAGTCTCGACCACGCGGTCGTCTACATGTACAATATTATATATACAACCTCTCCATCAGCAATTCAGCAATAAGCAATATGTTTGTCCTCTACACGTACGGTACGTAATATAATCGTCTGCTTCCCGGTGCCGAGTGCCACCCTCGGCACTGGGGACTTGTAGCTGTTTTTCTCTTGATAATTAAAGTGATTTATTATCTGTTTTAACTTACGTGCATACCGGATCAAATATTTATAATTTACAGGTACTATACGAATATATTTCGGAGCGTTGCTTGCATTCTCATTTTATCTGCATAACGTATAGATACAATTGATAGGTAATGATAGGTAAAGGTGGTGCTTCTCCAGAAAGATTGCGCCTCTCTTCGTCCACAAGCTATAGGTTATATTTTTTCAAGCATTCTCATAGAAAGCGAAAAACCACTAATTAATTTGGAAAAATCACACAGGAGTTTTAACGTGCACGTCTTTTTATACATCTATACACATAATTATTTTAGTTTTACGAATTTTAAGTTTAGTTTACAATCAGCGCTACCTGCAAAAATACACTAGTGTCACTAGGCTAAGGACTTTTTCTAAAAATTGTAGGTTTATTTATACTTTATTGTGGTCGCCGGTCGGGGGCGCAGAGCGCGGCTAAAAATTTTGATATCTATTGCGCATGCGTGAAAAAGACTTGACTTTTCGCAAAATGAATACCACTAGATGGCGCTGATCGACATAATTTACATTTTATTTTCTTTTGTCCCTACACGTCTTTTCTAAGGTGTTTACACGAAGGCGAACATGGTAGGTTGGCGTTGTTGGATTATTTTTCCGAAAAATCTATTAAAATCGTGTTCATCCGTTGTTTATTTAAGTTAATAATGTTTCCTGTCGGTGTTAAATAATGTAGTTATAATTGTGCTTAAAAGATTTTTTGTTTTTTTTTGTGGTTTAGTCAGCGCGTCCACAACTCAAAACATGTGTGAACTCTTAACCGCTGGTCATGTTTTGTTTAACACTAGTTTTTTGTACTTATTTAATTAGTATTGATTTTTTTAAATCGAAACATTATGATGTTTTGCTTTTACGTAGAATACAGTGTTGTGTCATTTATTTAAGTGATACGTGTATTAAGTAATAATCTGGGGTTAGGTGTCTATGTGCATATTGTGTGATTCCAAATTGAAAATGATCTTTTTTTTTCCAGTCTACACACAAAAAGAAGACCAGGAAATTGCGTGGACACGTGAGCCATGGTCATGGACGTATTGGTATGTTATTACGATAAATTTTATGCATTACCTAGTTTTTTTTTTTTTTTTTTTTTTTAACCTAGTATTGTTGTTTTACAGGCAAGCACAGGAAACATCCTGGTGGCCGAGGTAATGCTGGTGGTATGCACCATCACCGCATCAACTTCGACAAGTACCATCCAGGATACTTCGGAAAGGTATACATTTTTTTACTTTTTTTATTCAAAATTACTAGTACTACTAAATTCTATTTTGATTAACCTTCAATCGTTTCTTACAAGTTTTTAACGATATTGTAACGTTTATAGCTGGGTATGAGAAATTACCATCTGCGCAGAAACACAAAGTGGTGTCCAACTTTGAATTTAGACAAGTTGTGGACTTTAGTATCTGAGCAAACGAGGCTTAAGTACAAGGATGCTAAGCCTGATGGCAAAGTTCCCGTCATCGACCTTGTTAAGGCTGTAAGTCCTATTTTTTAGTATTTATTTAAATCTTCAAAGGAAATGATATTTTTGGTGATTAGTACTTACAATTATGCTAATTTAACCGATTTAAACAAGTAACAGTATTGGTTATAACTTTTTTCTGAAATATCAATGAATCTCAGTTTGAAACATACTATGACTTGACTTGTAATCATTATACACTTTTTCCTACCATTAATGTACATGTTCTGTTTTTAGGGATATTACAAACTTTTAGGAAAGGGAAGATTACCCAAGCAACCAGTTATTGTTAAGGCTAAATTTTTCAGTAAGTCAGCTGAGGAGAAAATCAAGGCTATTGGAGGAACGTGTTTGCTGAGTGCTTAAATTATAAGGTGAACATTAAGTTTTATTATCTTTTATAACAAAACATTTAAAAATGATTATACGCGAACGGGCGGACTGAAAGAGTGCGTACAACACTCAAACTCCTTGTTGATTGTTCTTAAATGATTTAAATATACCTAAATAATTGTAATTAACTATAACTCATTCCAATCTAACAGAAATTTTTTACTTTTTGTTTCAGGTAACTATTTTGGAATGTCTTGCATCGAAAATTTAAAGAATATTATTAAACAGTAAATTTAAAAGTAGTTTAGTGATGATATGTGAACGGGCGGACTTAAAAGTGCGTACAACACTTTAAATCATGTAGATTGTTCTTTTCTGACCATTACCAAGCTTCCTCAAAATTGTTTTACTCTTTATATAGGTTTTTAATAGAGAATTTTTAATTATGTTTTAGGTTACTTGCTTCATTGGATTGTACAGCCAACATCTTAAGTACATTTTTTAATAATAAAAAAAACCAAAAAAATCTTAAAAACCTTGTTATTTATTACCCAATTCATCTCACATCATTCCAAAGAAAATGAAATTTCTACAAATTACTCTTCTGATGAAAATATAATACAATAAATAGCTTTAACTGATTGTGGGAGGTGGAGGAGGGATTGGAGGCATACCACGAAGCATAGCTGGAGGAGGTGGCACAGGGTTGAACATAGGTGGTCGAGGAGGAGGAGGAGGTACTGGTACCATTGAGGGCCTCATGAGTGGCATAGGTGGTGGTGGAATTTTACCTATCATAGGTTTCTCATTTTTGAAAGCAAATTGTAAGAAAAATTGCTTGGTATCTTTATTCCAGTGCGTCCAGAATTTTCCGTCTGCCTTTTCAACCTCCCTGCTAGGAACCTGTAAAAATTTTTGTTAGTTTAATTCAGTGAAACTTTTCGTCAACGTTTTAAGCAACACATGGATGCAATTATAGTAAAGGCATGTACTGTCATATCTAGTAAAAATTACTTAATTTCCGTCGTTTCCTGAATACGTTTACTCAATTTTTTTTTTTTTTTTTCAATGCTTCTACAAAAATAAATCGAGCTTTTCTTACCTTAAATGCAATAGTTTCATAAGGCTCTGCAGCAAATAACAAGTACTGCCATTTACGATCTGGTGGCTCAACCCTTTGCTCATAGGCAGACATAAATCTGTGCCTTGGAACAACATTGTCAGCAACTTCGGGGTAGTCCACCTGAAACAGTAAACTCTGCTGTCCTGTTTCTGGATCTCTTTGCTTGGTAACTCTGTAACCAGGACGACCGATTTTTACAAATTTTTTGGGCTCGACTCTTGGTTTTTCTGGTGCAAGTGTCTGTGGGGCTTCTTTTGCTTCTTTTGCAGCTCTCCTTGCCAAGTTGGCCTGATGCTTCTTGCCCTGTGTGTGAGCAAGGTAGCTGCCCTCGTTGTTGTGAAGAGTCAAACACAATTTACACTCATAAGAGCCCAAATGATTCTTCATAAAATATGGATCTTTATTTAAATCAATTGTCTCCAAGGCCAGCTGTCGGAGACGCTCCCGACGATCTCGGTTACTCTCCGACCAGGAGGCCACCCCACCTCCACCAGTTTTTCCACCTGGTCTGTTTTGATAATCCATGGCTGCTTTTTACTACTGAAAATTAAAATTTGTGATTTAAATTTATTGATGTAAGAATTTTAGAGTTTTTGCAAGTTATGAGCATCAAACTTTATAAATTTATGCAAATTCATACATAACCTATTGGTTATCTTTTTAGTTAGTTTACAATAATGTTTGTTTTTGAGTAAACAACGAATCAACAACAAAAAAGTTAGAATCGCTTACTTGAAGCTTGGAGATGTGTTTTTCAAAAGTATATAATCACACAAAAACTTGAAATCCAGTAAGTGCACAGGTAAACCAAAGTATTGTTATTTTAATACTTGTTACAATAATGACATACCACATCACGATAATACATGCCAATGTTTTGTACTACAACTACGATCGGCGTTTATTATGTACACAATTTTTTTTAAACACCAATAGAAAGTTAATTTACTATTTACGAATTAGTATATAATATTACTTTTGACTCTTTTCAGATACCTGTTAGGACTGTAAGGTTACGCTAGCGGGGAACCAGAAAGACTTCACATCAATCCGGTTTCTGCAGTTTCTGATGGTTTTATAAGTATAAGATTGTCATAATTATAATTTTACTACTGTATATAGTGTTTCAGTGCCATCTAGCGTTGCGGATTTCAAGAATTGACGCGAACTATTTTCTAGGGGAACCGTCTTGAAAAAGTCCCTGGATTCTAGAGATTTCCAACAGCAGTAAATTACTAGGTATATATAGTAATAAAACATCAAAAATAGTATAGACCTGCAATCTGCAATATATGCAGACTCACAGACTGCAGGGTCTATATCTGATTTTATTATTCTGGTAAAGAGAGCACGGTATAAGATGTACGTTAAGTTATATGTGTAGTAATTACAGTAATCACTTCTAAGTAGTGCCATTTGGTCGATTTGATTAAACTGTATGATTAGAATATCTATACTTTTAGAAGTCAATTTTCGTATAAAAGATAGATTGTAAACTTGCCCCAAGTAGCATAAAAAATGTCATCTATTTATTGTCTATTTGTAATATTATTTGCGGCTGGTTTATAATTGATAAAGTGACTTTACTGTGAATAGCAATAATTATTTGGGTCAGCGCCATCTAGCGGTCTTTATTTTTTGGCCAAAAGTGGCCCCTAAAATTTTGAGTCGTAGCAATCAAGATTAGAGCCGTTTAGTCAAGTATAAACCAGCCGCAACTCATGACGAAACTATAAAATGAAAAAATAACAAAACATGTGTTTTTGGCGGCAAGTAAACAATTTATTTTCTACCAAAAAATTGACCTCCTATGTGTTTATACTTTTAAAGATAAATTTTATAGCATAAAATAAATTGTTAGCTTGCCGCCAAAAACACATGTATTGTTATTTTTTTATTTTATAGCTTCATTATGAGTTGCGGCTGGTTTATACATGATTAAATGGCTCTACGCGCTGAAGCTCGGTTTCAGAATTTTGGGAGCCACTTTTAGCCAAAAAATAAAGACCGCTAGATGGCGCTGATCCAAATAATTATTGCTATTCACAGTAAAGTCACTTTATCAATTATAAACCAGCCGCAAATAATTAAATGAATAGACGATAAGTAGTTGACATTTTTTTTGCTATTGCGGCAAGTTTACAATCTATCTATTACCTGTAAATCGACCTTAAAAAGTATAAATATACCACTTATCTTATACGGCTTATAAAATCTACCATAATATTTACAAAATTATAATACGTTAGACCTTTTACCATTAACTCACGAAAGCACAGCCCTTTAACTTAATAGTTCCAATTAACAGTTAACTAACGTAATATGTACACAGCAAAATTTGTGTTACAGAAATCTTGAACAACGTTTAAATAGATACATAAAGTAATAAGTCATAAAGAGACAACTGAAGAAAAAAGGCTTAAAAAAGAAGTTCAGTCACACAGGAAGAGTCTTCTAAAAATGGAGCATTGGATCTCACTTAATGAGAGTTGTTTCAGATATAAAGAATGTGAAAATTCATAATTTTATGCTAAGGATTTGTGTTTATTTGGTTGTAATGGTCCATGTTGGATTGAAAAACTTTGAGTCGCTGAAATCTGTAATTTTTTTTTTTTATGTACATATGATACATGTTCCTCTGCAATATATCACATACTCATGTTGTGAGGTTTTAATATTACAATAACAAAGTTTGATGACGCACAAGTTAAGAGTCTCAACTAGCATCAAAAACAGTAGAATATATACGTGAATTAATCAGTCTAAAAGAGACAACTGAAGAAAAAAGGACTGAAAAAGAAGCACAGTCACACAAAGAGTCTCCTAAGAATGGAGNCACAAGTTAAAAGTCTCAACTAGCATCAAAAACAGTAGAATATATACGTGAATTAATCAGTCTAAAAGAGACAACTGAAGAAAAAAGGACTGAAAAAGAAGCACAGTCACACAAAGAGTCTCCTAAGAATGGAGCATTGGATCTCACTAAATAAAAAATACATTTATTACAGAAAAGTAAATTTGAAGTATTATAAATAAACAAAGAACGCAACCTTCTCTCACCTCAACCTCATGATGGGAGTGAAAACAGCAAAAAATATCGAAGCTTGTTGACATGCGGAACCCACTGACCATTGTAAACTTGCCGCAAGTAGCAAAAAAAATGTCAACTACTTATCGTCTATTCATTTAATTATTTGCGGCTGGTTTATAATTGATAAAGTGACTTTACTGTGAATAGCAATAANATGTTAACTTTTAATTATCTATCTACTAAATTAGTTGCGGCTGGTTTATAGTTAATTACATGGCTCCATACTGTAATTATTTGGATCAGCGCCATCTAGCGTTGCGGATTTCTGAACTAAAAAGTGGCTCCCAAAATTCTGAAACCGAGCTTCAGCGCGTAGAGCCATTTAATCATGTATAAACCAGCCGCAACTCATAATGAAGCTATAAAATAAAAAAATAACAATACATGTGTTTTTGGCGGCAAGCTAACAATTTATTTTATGCTATAAAATTTATCTTTAAAAGTATAAACACATAGGAGGTCAATTTTTTGGTAGAAAATAAATTGTTTACTTGCCGCCAAAAACACATGTTTTGTTATTTTTTCATTTTATAGTTTCGTCATGAGTTGCGGCTGGTTTATACTTGACTAAACGGCTCTAATCTTGATTGCTACGACTCAAAATTTTAGGGGCCACTTTTGGCCAAAAAATAAAGACCGCTAGATGGCGCTGACCCAAATAATTATTGCTATTCACAGTAAAGTCACTTTATCAATTATAAACCAGCCGCAAATAATATTACAAATAGACAATAAATAGATGACATTTTTTATGCTACTTGGGGCAAGTTTACAATCTATCTTTTATACGAAAATTGACTTCTAAAAGTATAGATATTCTAATCATACAGTTTAATCAAATCGACCAAATGGCACTACTTAGAAGTGATTACTGTAATTACTACACATATAACTTAACGTACATCTTATACCGTGCTCTCTTTACCAGAATAATAAAATCAGAGGCTGTATTCTGCAAATGCTGTCAGCAGGTAAAAGCTTACATAGGCCATGGTAACACAGCATGGTTGGACTCGTAGTGTCAGTAAAATTTAAATCCGCTTTAGTTAAAAAATCGTTTATGTCAGTTCTTTGTTAATAACACCGTTTGGACTTCCTACAACACCGCTGTTTTACTTTGTTTTAGTTGTAAATCTGTCTTAACTCTTTACAATAAATATAGCAGTGATCTGTACAGAATTTAGACTCTTAAATTAGTTTTGAAGTCCTTTGATTAATTTTTTTTATTGTACTTTAAACACTTTTATAAAATTTTTGTTCCAAATAAAAAAGTTTACTAGGTTTTCCAATTATAAAAACGAGTTTTAGAAAATTTCTCATTATTTAGAACTATATACAAAACAAACTATTAGGTGAGCACAATCGACATCTGCAGTATCTGTAGCAATATCGCAAGGGTAGCAGAAAATTCAAGTATGTAGAGTATGCTGTTTAATAACTAAGTTTATTAGGACAAAATGAGTAGAAAACACTTTTTTTTATCAACAGTACAAGAATTAAAACTTTTATTTATTTACAACAGTTGCTTAATATTTAAGTTAACCAAACACTATCTTACTCTCGATTGAACAATTGAATTTCACCTCTTATCATGGCGCGGTTTGCATTATAATTTTGGAAGAAATTTTTTCCGTATTCAAAAGTGGAAATCATGATTGCACAGGCCGGTGCTACTTTAACAAGTCTAGGTACTAATCCCGTAAACAATCCTTTGATTCCACTTTGACTGGATATCTTTTTAATTGTGTGCCACGTGTTGCTAGATTTTTTAGGATGTTCTGTAAATAATATAGATACACGTATGTCAGTACATTAAGACACATTTGTTGGATATGTACAACAGCTAAATAAGTATTAAATACAAATGATAATAACATTTACCAACCTGAATAAATCTGTTTTTCGCCCATTTCGATTTGTCTATGAGTTTTTACAACGTCAAATGGAATAGTGACGAAAGCTGCTATCTATAAATAAGATGTATTGTTTTTTTCGCTTGATTTTTTCTTAAACTAATGTTATAATCAGACTTACAGAACCAGCTGTCGCCCCTGCTAGGAAAGTAAATATAAAACTTTGATGAGAGTCACGAACCATTTTTTTAATTGATTCATAACTGAACCAATAAAGTGCACTAAATGGCACATCTCTTAATAGTGTAGAACTCAAACCCATCCACAATCCTCTGACACCACTTTGTTGTACAACTATCCTCAAAGCTTGTGTTATTTCTGCAACCCATTTAATATATTTCATAAATGTATTATGTGGCGAAAATGCTCATTTAGTTTTAATAGAAATGGAAGCCAACCTGCATAACTTAATTTTTGAGACTGCATTTTTGTTCTTATAAGTTCTAATGGGCTTACAAGTGTGGCGGCCCATATTCTTGCTGTACTACCAGCCACAACAGGAATCCAAAATGGTTGTTCCTTATAGCCTACGTTCTTTGTACTATAATTATCCTGTCAAAATCATAAATTATAAAAAAAATTAGCTTGCTTGACAAAAAAAAATTAATTTGAAAAATAGTTTTTGCCTTCTCACTTTAAAATACAGCCGCAACTGTTCATAAGAAACAAAATATACAATTGTAGCAGGTACAGCCAGTACTAAAGTAGGACTCAATCCACTCCACAGTGAGCGTATCCCTTCCTTTTGACTTATTTTAATCATAGCGTCCTAAAAACAATTTACATTGCCATCATAACAGTCTTTATCAGTTTATCAAAGCAACAGTAATAATGTTACCAGAGTGCCGGTAAATTTTCCATTAGCCTTGAGCCAGTCGGCTTTGCTCATGACGCCTTTTCCATTTGAACAGGAGCATATATGGTCCATCAAGCCATTGCAATAGAGAAAACATTTATTCGACAACATTGCTTTTTGCTGTGCTTGCAGGCGAATCTTGACAACATCCAGCGGAGTAACTGAAGAATTCAACAACCGAGACAATTAAGAGCCAGTTACCCTTGAATCATTTTCAAAACAATAACGCAATCTTACCGAAAAATGAAGTAATGAGGGCACCCGTGCACGAAGCGATCATCTGCTGATAAGGACTGATACGAAATCTCGGATCGTCGAGATCAACCTCGTTAAACTTGATGCCCGTCATTTTCCAAACAGCCGATGGCGTTGCACTTTTATTTTGGAGTATCATCAACTACTTAAGTACCTGCGCGTTTTCCTCGAGCTAATTAATCGTTACGCACATTGGTACGTCAAAGTCAACTTAACCTCCTCATCTTCGTCGACTAGCGGTGTCGGCATCGTGTATAACATTTAAGTACCTAAGTATATCCCTCTCGGAGTAAGCTAAAAGACGAGCAGCGTTAGCAAGAAACTGACCGGTGACTGTTGCGATGATTTTTCAACGTTAGATACGATTAACATTTTGTTCTTGTGTTTGTTCGCTGCTCTAAACTTATATATCACAACAATCACGCGCAACCGCCTCTCTCTTTTGCTCCGCTCTCCGATACTCCGATACAGCGTCTGCTATGAAGTGGTCAAAAATGGGGTGGCAAGGCCCGGCAAGGGGGCGAACGCAAACACGTGGTTTGAATGCAACGCTGCCAACCTAACCACAAGCTCTCAAAGAGAAATCATATAGTTACGAAAACATTATATAACTAGCCCATTGGTAGCACTGCAGTGTGTCCGTGTGTATCTCCACCACACCCGCGCAATTTAAATATTTTGTGGGCCTACATCATTGCGCTAAACTTGCCGACCGACCGCTATTTAATAATAAATTGTAACATGAAAAAAGCATATTTACAACTTAATTGGGCGTACCGGCAATTTTTTTTTCTTCACCTTTTAAAAAATATACAAGCATCTTAAAAGTTTCACGTGGAGATGTATCAATACAGCAAGTCTCAAAAAGTCGACGAATCAAGAGTTGATGTCATTGTTTGTTTATACATGTACAAATATTCACGAGCCGAATCAAAATGCTCGTTTTTCTGGCTAGATAGGTCTTATCCAGGTATCTCAAGCACACAAAGACAAAGTGACTGAACAATGAGCCTCAAAAACATTAAGTTTGTAACAATCAATTTTGATGATCAGATTCATACATTTGAATTATTCACTTGTGCGTATGATATAATATCCTAGATATGCAAGCCTACAATATATATATATTGGCGCAATGAAAACTCACTAACATGGCAAAGTCGAGAGGCAGTCAACGCGAAAGGAACAAGTAAGTATCAAGAGAGCAAGAGATAGGAGAAGAATTGTTGCAAAGTATATACAACGTATATATTATATGGGTGTACATATTCGCGAGAGAGAGAGACAGACGGTGGGGTAGAAAGGGAGGCCATGAATGGTTCGCTTTGTTATTAATGCCGGTGCCATTCATCACAGATAGGTATAGGTTTTTTTTTTTTATATTATAGTGTACTGACCACAGATATAGGTGATGTGGATATACGTACTATGGATATAGAAGTGCCGGCTGTAAAGTATAGTGTATAGTGCAATTATATAATATACTTGCTGGGAATAAATTTCAGTTGTGAGGATATTAATAACTAATTGATTGGTTTTTTATACATTTATCATTTGATGATTGGAATGATTGATCGATGAAATTTAAAAAAAAAAAAAAAAAAAGAAAAAAAAAATTGGAGTCTTCGATGATACACACCTACTCGTTGAAGCCAATCAATCAGTTTTGGTTCGATTATCATCATCGTGTGTAATTACGTGATAATAATACGTATTTTATAAGTTAGCAATTTAGAAAAAAAAAGGTACTTAGCCATTTATGTGTACTGAATTGAAGTTATTTAACTGCACAAATACGAAATGGGTATAGCGTTGATTTATTTTATCGAAGGCTTTTCCTCATACTATGGAAAATAAAAATAAAAATATAGTCGCGGCATAAAAATTTCACAGTTGTAAGAGGAAAATGTTTCCTGAGTTAAAGTAGTCAACAACTCTTGGACATCTTAATTGGGCCTTTTTTTATGGTCATGCGTATGATTAATTTTTGATGTTTTTAAATATGTTCATTTTAATTAACATGTTTTTTTTACCATGACAATAGAGCTAGGTCCAAAAATACTTGGGAAAATTAATTCTAATTACTGATTTTGAAAACTCCACTTCACACTTCGAAGTAGTGTATTTATCGTGAAATGATCCGAACGATGCGGGCACACATTTTTTTCCATCACTTGTTTAAACTATTATACTTTGAAAGTCATTATCTGCTCCCTCGGACATCCTGTGGTAAAATGATTTTTTACATACCACAGAACGTCCGCCGAGTATGAGTAGGTATTTAGTGAAATAAAATTCCAGTAGCCTGCGAAACAGGTTTTACAAACGTGTTTTTGCTCCATCAAAATGCCATTGATTCATAGGTTTCTATTATATCCTCACGTAAAAAGGAAAAAAAAATAATAATAACAATATTCGCGCAAAAACGCACTTTAAAACCGAGCGGGGGAAAAAAAGGTTGAGATATCCAACAGCTATCTACGTTTTTCATTGAAAAAAAATGCAAAACATCTCGTACTTGCGTCCGAGTGTACGTCACAGAGAGCAAGTTGACATATAAAATAGATTACCGCTGCTTCCTGCTCGGATTTAAGTGTGTACTTCAATTTGGAAGGTAGGCCGTGCTGATAAAATCTCAACGCAAGCATGGAAAAATCTGTAAAAAATTATTGATTTTTTTTTTTTTTTTAACGATTCAATGAAAACCACGAGCTTATACCGCAACTCATCTACAAGAGGGAAGAAAGGACGGAACATAAAATAGGTAGGTATTTATACAACGCTGTGTTGTATAAATAAATAAAAAAATAAATATAAAATACAGTGTGTTACAAAGCGTGTTTATAACATATTGGGACACATCCCACGCACAATAGAGTGATGTGCAGCGATGTTGCTCAACTACGTGTCAGCAGCAGCTGATCGGACGAAGTGCTCGTTGATGATGAAAAATGATAGTTTTATACTTGCATGCTCTCGTGTGTAGGTATAATAATTAGGTGATGGTGCATACGTCAGAGGAAAAAAAGGGGGTTTACGTATAGCGAGAAAAAAAAGAGCAATACGCAAGCGATTCGCGCGTGATGGGGTATAAAAAAGATTTTTTCGAGTAATTCATCGTAGGAGCGCCGAATCAAGTAAATATGTGTATTCAATTAAAAATTAATACTGTTAGTGTGACAAAGTTACCCGGATGCTGCTCTCGAGTGCGATTGATGATCGGTAACAAAAGGATTGCGCAAAAAGTGAAAGAGTATATCATGTGTAAGTTTGCATCGACGCGCGCACACACACACACACAGAGGTATATATTACATGTAATCAGTGCAGGATGACGTTTGCTCTCGGACGAGGAAGCGCATCCGCAGTGATAAGCGTTAAAAAGGAAGTTTATATAGGTATACATATATGTATACATAGATACGCGTGCGCTTAGCTGCAACTCGCTCGCTCGCATTATCTCTGGAAAAGAGAATCAGAGTACCTATGCTTGAATGACGGAACGTCAGTGTTGCCAGATTGGGTGAGTTTGAAAAACCGGCGGTGACCTGGTGGTGGCATATCAAACGATTTTTTAATGAAATCGCCGACGATGTCGACTGTACTTGATAAAAATACGTGTTCCAGTAAAGTAGCTTCTTCAGTAAAACAGTTTTCACTGCCACATCAGTACATACGAAAATTTACTGTCTTTGAGGAATTTAAAGATTAATTAGTTCTGGTAAACGAAATTGTGAAAAATCAAGATTAATATCAAATATTATTATTGAATAAGTGGAAATAATGCAGTCACCGTGAAACATTCGTTTTTTTTAGAGAAATTCATCGGGTTCATCATTGATTAGCATTTAATCCAAATAGTAGAATTTTTATTCATTATTATTTATTATTACATATTTTTTCCACTACAAAATTGTATTTTT